AAATGTGCCGAAGAAAATTTTCTGTTTTCACAGAGGAAAAAACTACAAGAGGCACTGAAGTGATTTTTCATAATTATTAAATATGTTTAGCTTGCCAAAATACGGTGTGTCAGTTTATGCAAAAGACATTGCCATTGAGAAAAGGCGAATTAATGAAAAAGTTTGACTATTAAAACTAGAACTTTCTTTCACATTTTGCATCTTGAATTTTCGCTCCGCCTCAATGTTCAGGTATTTTTTTCATAACTTTTCAACTTCTAAAGTCTCAAACAGACAATAGAAATACAATCACAATATCGGCGAAGTACAAAAAGTGAATCAAACTAAGTATTTGAGGATTCAAACTAATAAAAAAGAGATTATTTTTACCTGATTGAAGGGCATTTTACTTGCGATTTTTTTTGCCAGATGCTCTCAGTTCGGCGTATTTGTGCCTTTATGTTTAATTCTTCTATTCCGAGCAGCTTGACTGTCTTCAGCTATCTTAAAACCTCTTCTTTTAACTGGTAAACAACTGATTCCAACAGTAAATGCTAAATTTTCTTTCAAGTTTAAAGTTTTTTAAACTCTTGACTCAGTAAATTCAACAAGTTTGTTCATCGAAAATCCGGCTCTTTCGTAAACGAGTCCAATCTACCTTCATTTTAGATGTCCATTAGATAACTTGTTCTTTTAGAAAACACTGAAGTTCAGGTCAGAGGTACGTGTTCTTGGGATGCAGCAATATTAACTGTATTTCAGTTTAGGTGGAGAATTGTGGAATAACTTACAGTCTCATCTATAACTGCAATCAACTCCAAAATGATYGAGTCTCAATCGAGCGACCATTGTTTTGATTTAAAAACAAGCTTGAATGATGTTGTCTCAGCTGAGTATTTTTTACATATGCTGTTATAATGGATTCTTTCAAATACCTTTCAGAATTTCTCAAGGAATTCCTCTAAACACATTTTCTCGTCAAATTGAATAAAGTTTGGTTTGTCAACTGCGTGAAGCTTGCTTTGTCACTGCCGATCTCTTGTGTACCTATGACATCACTACAACTCTGACCAATCAAGATTCGCATGTTAAAATAGCTCAGACTAGCGCGCGGAGCTAAAAATAGATTTTCAAGAAACTTTCATGGGTCACAGGGATATGCTCTCTTACTTCATATTCTCTTGGCTATGATAAGTCATGATGTACAAGTCGTACGTGTAACAATAACATTTAATCACTTTATTCAGAATATTGAATATATAAAATAGGTCAACAACGATCGCATGCCCAAAGTCCAAGGTTAATAAATTCTTCCCCGTGCAGAAACAAGTTTGTTTCCGCCATCCAACACGAGTGATAGCAACATTCGAAAGTTTGCGATATATTTAACTTCTATATTAATATCGAGGAGTATCGACGCAAAAGTACTAAGTAATACGAAATAAAGCAAAAATTATGCCAATAGATTCATGCAATCAATGCGTGAATTGCGCTTAAATTGTATTGTGGCAGTACTATAATAATGGAAAATTGCAACTGCGTCAACTGCGGTCCTTTTTTTTCCTTTTTTTTTTCTTTTTCTTTTTTCTTTTCTTTACAAGATTAAGTTAAAAAACGCAAGTTAGGGGAATATCATATTTTCTCGCACGGGCGTCGTCGCCGGATATCAGGACGTACAATAGACGTACAATAAGCTTGCTTTTTATGTTGCCATCCATCTTCGATCTAGTTAATTCAATCATAGTTTTTACTATGATTTAATATTACATTACTCTTCTGAATGCTTGTTCTTGATGTGGATGCGCATTCGCCATGCTTCAAGAAACTTCATTGGACACTTCGGGCATTTAAATTTCTCTCCTGAATGAATACGCATATGCCTTTGCAGCGAACACGACTGTGTGAAGTGTTTCTTACAAATATTGCATAGGTACCCTTTAGGAATTGCGCTGTGGGTCTTTAGATGTCGAAGCATTGAACACTTCTGTTTGAACCCTTTGTTGCAGACATTACAATTGAATGTTTTGAAATCCAAATGAATCTTTTCATGGTTTCTTAAAACAACCCTAGTCCGAAATCGTTGTCCACATTTCTGGCATTCTAATGGTTTTTCTCCGGTATGAAGACGAAGATGCCAAATTAACTTCTCTTGTCTGGAAAAGGATTTTCCACATTCTGTGCATCGATAACGTTTTTCTTCGTGTATAACTATCTCATGTTGGCGGAGTTCATCCCAAGTGTTGAAAAGTTCTCTACATCCCCTTCTTTCGCATCTAAATAGCTGGCCAGGTACATGAACCAGTCCATGTTGTAGATAATCACTGTGGAACCGGAAGATCTTGTGACAAATGTCGCACTCCAGGCGCTTTTCTCTCAGATGAATGACAACGTGTTTTCTAAGTGATTTCAAGTCCAAGTACCAATTTCCGCAAAGAAGGCATAAATGATTATTTTCTTTGCCGTGTGTTCTGAGGTGGAGTCGAAGGGCAAAATAGTGCCTAAAGTCTTTATCACAATCAGAGCAACGCCGTCTTTTTTCTGGTTTATCTTCTTTATCTGAGTTAATTGTTTTTTGGGACCCATCTTGGTGTTGGCTTTCTTCCTTGCCAACCAATTCAAGAGCTGTTCTTCTCTTCGCGTATTTTGGATACTTTGGTTCATCTAGGTGGGAAGCCATATGAGAAGCCAACTCTTCTACTGTGACAAATTCAATGTCACAGTGTCTACACTTGACTGGTTTTATTTCATCATGTAGCAGAAGATGCTGGGAGAATTCTTCTTGTGAGAAGAATGAGTCATCACAGCTGTTACATAAAAATACGCCTCCAAAAAGTAAGTGGCGCAGTGCAAGGTGCCTCTTAAGTTCTTGAAAACAAAAGTCCTTGGAACAGTAATAACACTTGTAACTTGATTGTACATGTTCTTCAACAACGGTTGGTAAACCATTACTGAGAGAGCTAACGCCAAAGCACATCAGTGAACTGAGGAGATCATTTGAATCGACACTCGTTTCTAAAGCACTATCATTAGCAAAATAACTGGAGTCTGGTGTCAAAGTCTCGATTGATGTTCGTCTTTTATTGAAAACATTGTGGTTTGTTTCTGGCTGTTCTTGTTTTATTGCCGTAGCTGGCAAAGAGGTTAGTACTCTGTTTCTTTCACTGCTATTTGTCGCAAAAATGCTCGGGTCACTACTAGTATTGGTAGAAGTCGTAGTGCGTGGTATATCACCTTTATCTTTACTAAATGCCGTCGCAGGAGCCATTGATTCTGCTGTTGGAAGCACACTAATGTATTGTGAACTGAGAATCATGGTTGGTCTACGATTATGGCAACTAGCACGCAAAGTTTCAGCCTGATTAAGAGTATTGCCGATCATGGGTAATAAGCACTTTATAGAGTAATGATAACGATAGCTCACATTGTCTGGATTTGCTTCTTCAKTCTGATATATGGTGGGAACTTCCTCTGTTGTGCCTCTACGAGGTAAAGTTTCATCACTAGAAATGTCCACCAATTCTCCTTTATTCCACATGCAACTATTTTCATCCGGGTGATCGGTATTGCCGCTGACGTGTTGAACGTGTTCGCTGTCCATCACTTCCTCAACCCGATATTGCTCTTTTCCAATCGTTAATGTGCGATGCAAAGTGTTTTCTTCTTTAGATTCTAAGGACTTAACTACTGTAGCCGTTTCGTCGTCCTCTTGCTCTGCATCTTTATCGGTTTGCATGATTGCCCATGTGTTTTCCATTGCCCATGTTGTTCCAGATCTTGGGCTGTTATTATCCACATCTTGTTTTACAGACCCGTCTTCTGATTCTCTATTTGGCCGACCTTCGTTGTCTTTTCCTTTAATAGGCGATAATATATTGCTATTGGATTCAGGGCGTTCCTCGCTAGACCGTCCCATTGGCAAAGATTCGGAAGCCGTAGAAGAATAGTTTCTTAAAGTAAACATCGTTTCACTGCACAACTTTAAAGTTTCTTGTTTTTCCCCTGTCATCGAGTGCTGGATTTGATTGATAATTTCTTGTAGCTCTATTGAGTCTTTGAACTTGAACTGACTAGCTTCATAATCAAACTTTGTGCTGTCAATATTTTTATCACCTTTCTCATAGCTTACTTTCTTAACTACAAGATTTGTAGTGTTCTTTGGAAGGCTAAACACGTCTTCTATGGTAGGCATAGTACATTGCGGGTGATTATGGATTCCAACAGGCCTGAAAGACATGGATCTGCTGCCTTCCCTTGTAAGAGGTGTGCAAGAGCTTTGGCTGTTATTTACTGGACTAAGATTTAGCCCTAACACACTACTGTTATTTTGGTGCGTTAATAAGTTATTTACACCAACACTGCTTGTCTCTGAATTCTTTACAGACCCGGGTTCGTAAATTGTATTACGATTCATGCTGTCAACACGTTCTTGATATTTCTCCAAGTTCGCTTTCTCTACTTCCTGATTAGAACTGTCTGCCATACTGAATATATCATCGATTTTTGGCATTCTGTCCTGACCTGTTAATCTAAACGGAGACGATCTTCCTTCTTGTTCATAGCGAGTTAATAAAATTCTGTTGTTTGCGCTTCCTTGTTCAAAAGTCGATGTGTTTTGTTGTAAACTTGCATGTCGTAATTCGTGTACTTGGTATCTCTCAGAACCATTCAATGAGATTCTATCTATTGCAAATGCTATTTTTTCTTGGTCTTTAGTAACTCCTTCTCTCCCTTTACTATTTTCGCTCAAAGAAGATCCATTTTGCATAAAGCTTGATGGTCGTAGTTCTGACGCAGTGTATTTTTCTCCTCTCCTTTGAACTATGCAATCAACATTATCTGGACCACTCGAAAAGTTTTCAGTTAATTTCTCCACATCGTATTTAGATCTTCGTTGTTTTATTCTCGCTCTTTCTTCTTCCACCTGCTCCTCTTCGCTTTCGCTTGTTGAAATTTCTGGAAGCTCATCGGAAAAATTTGAGCAGTTGTCTTCACTGGAGGAGCTGGTATCGCTGAAGTGTTCTTCATAATACATGTTTCTCTCCTGTAAACATGCTTCTCTCGAATCGACATGTGATACTCGATCTCTTGATCGTAAAGTGCTACGCAATGCCATAAAATTTGAATTCGTTTCAATAGAACTTGGTTTCCTTAAAAACTGATTTTCTGGCGAGTTTTCTGATTGATCTAAGGTTAAGTTGTGCTGTATCAGGTCTGACTCAATGGCCGTCGCATTTTCATCAATTCCCGTCTTAACTCCAGTGTAGTCAGTTGTTGCTAGATGAATTGTGTTGCCATTTTGATCCACCTTCATGGATTCACTTGTTCCTTCACCATCAATGTCATACTTGAGAAGTACTGGCTCTGATGGTATCGACGACGAATTCGACTGAAAGAAAAAAAACATAGTTCGATGTTAAACCTTATACCGTTTATTTTCATTTTACAGTTAAGCATTATATATAACCATTGACAAGTCTGATCTGTATACATGAAGTATAAATGACGCTATGACATAAATAAAATTAATGAAATACCTAGTTACTACTTCTTCGGAAGTATTTCAGTGGCCCCATTTAGGCTACTGTTGCTATGTCCCAAAAGCTCAAATTCGAGGTAGTTTCAACATCAGTTTCAAAATTAAAAGTTTGATCGTAGGAATATGGAATGAGGTACTTATAAATAGCCTCTTTATGTGACAAGCTAGCTGCAAACCTCATGCGGGAGAAAAAACTGGTTAGATACAATAGACAGCAACCAAGGGTAAAGTATAATAAATAGATAATAATCTTTATGAGTGGGGTACCAGTTTCCTCCTCGGCTTTCCTACCTACTCCTGATAAATTGCACAGGTTTCACAAACGTTTCGCATCTTTTCCACTTACCAAATTAAAGTTCATGTCCCATTTGTGTTCTCCAGTAATGATATTATAATAAAACAGAACATCTCCTGATTTCAATGTGTATGGTCGCCAGTGTGATGGATTTTCCTTACATGTCCCTTTGGAAAGCGCACATTTTCCATTACGATCCTCAAATCCGTTGTTAATGAACTGGAAAAAAGGAGAATAAACGGCTATTATTAAAACGAGTAAGTTTTTTGGTGATATTGGAAACTAAGTACGCATTCACAAATCTGCTAAGCCTGAAGATGCCAGAATGTATGATTTTCAGACCGACTGATCATGTTGATAATCGAGCATCAGCATAAACACTATTAGGTTAGATTTCTTGCACAACATTTGAAGGTTTTTTCTTTCCATTCTCAGAAATGTCTTTTTGTTTAGTAAGAAAGATTATTATCATACCTCAAACTGTAATCTATTGCTGCAATGGTTTGCCCATATGTGTTTTCCAGTTTTCGTGTTATAAAAGAAAAGAGTGTTCCCACCTTTGGTCTTGTATGCATACCAGTCACTTGACATATTCTCTCATTTGTACCTCTTTCTTTTATCTTCAAAATCTAGATTTGTGGGAAAGGGACTGTTAATACAAATCCTACAAGTGCGACTCAGTCGGGAAAAATACATGGTATTTAATGATTGTGGTTTACATGGTGTGTGTTTAGAGGGCAGTAAAGCATACAAAGTATCTTGGAGTTCATATATCTGATGACAAGTTTCATACACCTCCTCTAAGTAGGTGAGTGAGCGTTGCGTGACGACACTAATAGTGGCTGCGTAGGAGACTATTCATTCAGTAGTAGCAGAATCGTTGTAAACTGAAACCAAACTTTCGGTTTTCTGAAGAGAAACTTAAAAGTCTACGAAATCTTTAAAATTCGGGTTTTCATTAATTGTCTAGATTTTCTATCGCTATAGACCCCTTGTCACAGGAGTTTCCTGACAAATGGAAACCATTTCAAGGGGCCACGTCTATTGAATTAACTTCTTCACTCAAACACACCACCACTCAATGTGCTATGCATACAACACTCAACTCACATGTCGATTTTTGAGAAGAGAGGAAAATCGGAGAAACCGTAAAAAAAACCTCGCGATAGCCCAGAAGGCAACGACACATCGATCCTGAACTCGACTCATATACTAGCTTGGGCAAGGAGACTCAAACCTTCTGCCACAAACGTAGTATTAGCCATGGTGACTGAGACGTACACATTAGCAGATCACCCATGCCACCTACCCAAAGTCATCAAGTCATCAATCTTAAGAGAAAAGGCTTACAACGGAATTATCAGGCCAAAAAATGGAGGTACCGTCTAACTGTCCTTCTATTTGGGGTTGTAGAAAGGGAATTAAGAACAATGTGTTTCATGAGGGGCAGAGACGCACAGCCCGCTGGGTACTTTCAAGATACTATACCCTCTGGCAGACGTGACAGAAATTCTTTTAAAAAAAGATAAATATGGTTATGTTTCGTTCACCGAAGAGCTGTTGCGCGTCTTATTCTGCCGTTTAAGGTTGTAAATGTCCTTGTGGAACCGACTCACTGCACACCTCAAAAAAGGCTACAAGTACTAGGATGAAAGAAATTGTACTTCCTGTCAGATGTGCCACACTGAATTTCACAGGTTTCCTTTCTAAATTATTAATTAATTATTCGTATGACCCTTACAACCTGATAACCAGTTTAAAAAGCTTAATTTCACAACATTTGTAATCTAGGATGAAAGAAATTGTACTTCCTGTCAGATGTGCCACACTGAATTTCACAGGTTTCCTTTCTAAATTATTGATTAATTATTTGTATTACCCTTACAAGCTGATAACCAGTTTAAAAGGCTTAATTTCACAACATTTGTAATCATTTGTAATCGAATGACGGGAGAAGCGATGGCTGGAGGGAGGGGGTATAGGCAGGATGGAAGGAGGAATGGATAGATGGAGGGACGGAAGGGATGCGGGTAGCGATGGATGGAGGGAGAGATGGGTCAAGGTAGATGAATAAATGGATGGTGGTTTGAAGAAACATATTGAAATTGGGGCCCTTGATGCAATATGTAACCCACACATCATTTGTAGGTTTCAGTTGCCTGAGAATGTTCCACATTCAACATGGCAGCCGATGGCTTGCTCACTGGTGGATCTGGGGAGTAATGGAGAGGAAACATGCCTCCCCCTCTAGTGTCAAACTCAATGCATTTGTGCATGCAGCTGTTTCCAAGACTAATTAAATCGTCTTTCGAAACTGCAAGATCTTCTACTTGAACATGTTGCCAAAAGTTATAGTACTTCTTTCTTAGAAAGAAATATTCCATGAGTAATTATGGTTATGAATCAAAGAAACTGCCCTAAGATGTTTGTATAATCTGGAGATCGAATAGATTTGAAACAAATTAAACGATAAGAAGAATATCTGACTATTATTTTCTTTGAGATTTTATTTAAGTTTACTTAAATTTAAAACTTGTTCGCAATAGACTTTCACGGTTTCCGTTTTCTAAGAAGCGACGGGGAACCAGTATGATGGAGTCGCAAACTCGCAAACCCCAAAGCCTCCGTCTCTCTGACAACCAGTGTTATGCTGGCTAGATCGGCTCAAAAACAGCACACAAAATATTGAACAGAGGATTCTCCGTCTACGGAAAAAGTTTGGTCTCGAAAATTTACCTCAGAATGGAAATATAACGAAAAACGTATCTCTTTCCCCGTCGTTTGTTAGTAAACTTGCCCCCCCTCCCCAAGCAATATGGCGTCGGAAACCGTGAAAGGGTCTATTATTAATATTTGACCGACTAGTTGGACTTGACTAAAACAATTAGTCCTCTTGCCCTCGTGGCCTATGAGTCAATAGCTCATTCGGGTTTAAGCAATATTATACATGCACTGTGAATGCTCGTCAAGTAGACTTGGCAGGCAGGCGGCGTTTATACAATAATTACTTTAGGTGCCATCTTCAATTTATTCAATTTCTTTACAATTGGCCAACTGAGCCAGGTAATAAAGCAATATAACACATGCACGAAGTCCCATATATCTACATCTACATCTACTTTTATTAAAGTCCATCAAAGGAGGTACCCATCACTGATAGATTTATATGCAAAATAGATAATAAATAAGTGAATATTAGAATATAAAAGTGATAGCACGAACCAATATAAAAAGAATGAAATATCTAAGTTTAAAAAGTTTGCATTACTTTCTGAATAGCAATTTACTAGGATTAAAGTAAACCAAGAAAATATCCTTATTCTTCCCTAATGTCGAAACCTCGGCCCTCTGTTTGAAGTCAATGCCAGCATATTTGCTATATGCCACGTGCGTTTTCAAGCAAATGAAATATGAAATCACAGCGGCTAAATCACACGTACTAGTATAGATATGCCCGAACACTGAAGGCTGTATCATTAGTCTTCGATTTAGAGTTTTGAACGAGTTCTGAAGGACGATCTTGTCATAACCTCCTCACAAGAAATCACTAACTCGATTGATCTTATCTTAATTCCCCCTTAGGACTTTTTTAATTCCTTACCTGTATATAAAAAATGTTGTAAACCAGGTAACTACATCGCTTAGTGGCAAAGGTTCAAGGTTCGACTTGACGGTGATCAACCAAGGATCAACATTAACAGCATCAAACATTAAAAGCATGAATAGTAATGATTCATTTTGCTAATCATCAATGCATGACTAAACACATGCACACTGTTTTTTTCGCGGGAAACTGTCGTCATAGCAATGACTTCACGATCACATTWAAAAAAGTTTTTCTCTTTCTTTCTTTCTTTCTTTTGTGTGTTTGTATAAAAGTTGTAGTTGTTGTGCTTCACAGTGACTGTAAATGTTATCATTTTTTCAAGGACAATAAAATCTGATTTTGTGTATTCACATTTTATGCCTGACTTTTGAAGGACATTCAAGTAAACATTTCGATTTTTTTAGGTTATGTCCTGGACTTTCTACTGTTTAAAATGAAGCACCCAGTGATCAAAATAAATATTATTTCCAATTGATCATCCGATTAATGATTCAGCCCTCCCAACCCCCCCCCCCCCCCCCCCCCCCCCCCCCCCATGCACACACACAACAACAACAACAACGACAACAACAACAATAACAACAACGATGACAACGACAATAATTCATTTGGCGCTGTATACTAGAAGTACATAAGCATATTCTTTTCCAAATAATCAGGAAATATTAAAGTTAGTTAGATAGTTTGTCTTAATCAAGTCAAGCTTTCTGCTATTTTGTCTGTGCCAACATTGCCCTTCTATCTCCTTGGCATTGGTTCGTATATGTATTTTGCTACAATTTTTTGGATTTTGTTATTCGRGTTGATAAGAAAATGGTCGTTTTCACTTAAGTGTCCAAATTGTTCGTTTATAATTGTTTAGATTTTTTGTAGTTAATGTTCTTTTCGTTTGTTTGAGTAGGAGGGACATTTCAAAAGAAAGTGTTTTTTTTTTTATCTTCAACTTCACGTTCACACTGAAAGCCTCTTCCTTCTGGTTTGACATAAGGGTTGTAAATGTCTCCCTCTTTTAATGTCTAAGTAATGGTGAGTTTTGTCAGTGCTATGTTTGATATTGCTGACCTCTTTAAGCTAACTTTCTTGTGGGAAACACCCACCCAAAGGCGAAATCTGTAAAAAAACAGTCCCTAGCTGGTTAAAGGTCCATAGCATTGATTGGGTCTGTTTGTAGCGATCGATACTGCAAGACAAGCTATCGCGGGCACGTTATACGAAACCTAGCCTCCGTTGCATGCGGAATTTTCTTCGTCTTAAAGGAATTGACGAAGAAATGCAACGCAACTAACGAAACCCCGACGGCTAGAAGTTTAGTTATTTACATATCTACTTAACTTATGTAGCTTTATCCATGACAAAAAGTGATACCTAATTAAATTGTCATAGAAGGGTTTAGCACAACATGTCTGTCAGGCTTACACAAGGAAGTGCGCCGTGTATAACACGTCCTCTACAGAAACGTGTCTGGCGAAGCTGTTGCGAGTAGCTTTTAGCCGTGTCTTCATCCATATAGCTTGGAACTTTAGAAACATCTAAATATATTGTAAATAAGGTAAACTAAACTCAAATAATTAAAATAAATCTACCTAAAAGGATAGCTGCACCGAAAACCTATTTCCTAACCCTCATTTTGACCAAATTCCATAGTCCCAGCCTATGTTTTGATCAAATCTTAATTCCGCCATCCCCATGTTGTTGGTTTGTTTTTGTTTTTTAATTTTATTCCCAGTGTTAAAATCCCATTTTCCTAGCCCCAAAAAGGCGAATCCCAGTTCCCAATCTTACCCCTTCAGGACCCTTATCTTACGGTAGGTCGAAGAGAAGAGTTTATAGAGGTTTTGCACCATCACGTGCAGCTTGGGCTGCCTGTGGTTAGATGGCAGAACAATAAAATCCCTTTGCTCTCGGGAACTGAATTCTTTCTCATATAAAACGATTTTATTGTTCCTGCCATTTAACGTGGCTGCTGTCACGTGATGGTGCTAGAATGTTCCCCTTCCAATTGCTTCGTAATCTAATTGCTACGATTAAATTTCTACAAACACACCAATAATTATAACAACAAAATACTTTATTTTTATTTCTGTTTTTAGAACATATCTAAAATGGTTTTTACTTCGCTTTTAATCCTTGTCTGTTCTTATACTCTTGGAATTTCCATACAAGCTATTGCAACAAGATTTCAAGACTGAAATTATCTGAGAGAATGGGTATAAATGAAATGGAATGAGAATAATGGAATGGATAGAGAATTTGGAGATGGTTGGAGAAATAAAAAGGATGTGGTTCAAATCATCATAGATGTTAAACCTAGGGTAAGGGTAAGGCAGTGAATGAGAGATTGACGGTTCACTACCATCTCCCAACCTTCAACTAATTTATGACCATTACCTTATAGTAAACTAAGTTTTCTTTCATATCCTTAAGTTTTTTTGCTCCCAGAATCAGTAACAGTTACTTCAACAACATTGGTGAGGCAAGTTTGTCTGCTTCACCATCATCGCCTCGCACTGCTCGCACTAATTCAATGCCAAACTCAAATGCAGTACCAGGCCCTCTACTGGTGATCAAGTTATCATCTTTCACCACACGCTCCTCTGAGTACTTGTATCCTATTGATAATATACATGTATGTTAATAATAGTGAAATATAAATTAGATATATTTTAGTGGTATTCAAATAGACATATCTCTGAGCTTCCAAAAGTGCAGGGGGATCTATCACAGATCACAAGGAAGTTTTTCCTTTGTTTCTATTAGGTTCGACTCATGTGAAGTTCGACATTTGACCTGAGCCTAAGGCTACTTATTAGATACACTGCTCAAACATTAAAAGAATAATATGCTAATATGCTCACTATAGGATATAAATTACAATTCAGTCACTTTAAATTGCAATTAAATGTCCTTGGATTCACATGCTGATCTGTCAGACCACCTTAACTGACATGTATACACTATGCATAGTATGCATAAAAGAGTTCCCATTATTATTACCCAGTACTATTGCTAAGAACATAATATGGGATTGGACAACATGAAAGATTGATAATGCACCTGTCATTTTGTCTTTCAAAGTTGGATAGGATGTGGCAGTCTTTCCTGTCCCAATACCATGCTGTGCTAAAACGGTTGGTCCTAAAAAAATTGACAAACCCCTCATAGTTAATTTGTAATTTAAAGAGTACAACATAATCAGAAGAACGACATAATGTTGAATTATTTCTTGAATGCTGGATTATTACCAGAAATGCTAAAAGCTTGTAAATAAATAATTCATGAAAATGGTATCAAAAATTCCAAATTCTCTTTAAACGCAAATAAAAAACCCAATTTTAACTTTGGAGTCATGATGACACTGAAACGTCGTGAAGTTAAAACTATATGTTTCCTATCACTGTCCTTTTTAGTATTATACTTCTCCAAGCAACAACTACTTATCAAGAATTTTAACTTTATACAGTGTTCAAAAAACAATGGCTATCTAATTCAGGGCACTGACATTATGTTACCACTACCACTGGTCAGCTGGAATGGCTCACCTGCACAAATGGCTGCCACTATCCCACCTCTATTGTACTGCTCTGTCAGTATTTCTTTAACTTTTTCAGACTTCATAAAGAGAAGAGAAAAAAGGCTCACAACTCACCAGTAAATAATCCTGGCATGCATGGCAGAGTATTTTTCTAAGTTCATTGGAGTTGCAAATGTCAGAGTGATAATACATGTAATTAATTTATTTATATTGCACTCAACAAAATTACTCAATTCTGTTTGGACAAGAGGAGTACAATTAAATCCCAAATTGTACTCTGTAGAGTTCCAATTAAGTTGCTCAATTTTTTTGAGTGTATTGAGTAGAATAATTAGCCAGTAAAATGTCATTAGACCATAAAACTATTGATATTAAATTCATAATATAATTTAGGTTGAAATATACCCACCAAAAATGAAATTCCTGATTTCATGATGCACTACATCACTTACAGATAATTTCTACATGAATGTGAGCAATAATTTTCAAAAAGGTGTATTTATCGAGTACCTTTGCCAAGTTCTCAGCTCCTTCTAATCCTCCTGGCAGGATGACAGCATCATATGGTCCCTGCAGTTTATATTAAATAGAGGATATTACATGGTAGCGCTAACACATGAAGTTTATCATTGGGTGGTGATTATATTTTATAAACAAAAACTCATTGAAGTAATATTTTAAAAATGAGGGCAAGTGTTTCATTAAGGTTTCCAAACATGAGAAAACATTTGAAAGCACGAGGCCTCAGACCAAGTTATTAATTCATTATGCAGGAATTCAGAGAAGGTTGTTTACTCTTCAGTTATTCATTCTTGTTTTTTTTTTACATTTCATTAAGTAAGACAGCACATTGTTTGCTCATCACTACAGGATTGAATTTGTTTAATGAAGGTGTAGACCCCAAGTTAATTAGAGATACATGTAGGACTGGACATGCATGCAGGTCCGACGCATTGGCTAAGTATCAAAAGTACAATGAAAAGGCTGTGTGTAATGTATGCTATTTTAAGGACCAAAGTGTTCAATAGTTACTTAGTTTATTGTGTTATTTAATATATGTAGAGCAGTTGTATTGCCAGATTTCATAATTATAAAGATTGAAATATGTTTGCTATTTCTTTGAAAGCAGAATAAAATCTGACATCTTTTTAGTTTACAAAATGTATAATAAAGCAACAATTAAATTCGGTTTTTGCATGTAATATCGCGCTTAAAAGGACGGTGCCTAATAATAGCGAACCAATTTTATTTTTTTCAAATGGTGCCAGTCATTTAAATCACCCAAGAGGCCACTGGAACCCGGAAAAAAATTGGGGGTACCCACGCATCTAAGCGAGATAATTGACATTAAGCACCGATGACGTAAGCACTTTTTTACGCAAGGGAAAAAATCATATTTCAAAGTTGTTTTGATAGATTTTATCTGAAACTTGTTTCAAATAAACAACAAGTAGTGTTCTTTATATCAAATATATAAACTTTTGTGTATCATATAAAAAAACATTTTTTGAAACAAATTTTGCCCTCAAAAGTGTAAAGTATGGTTCTGAAGGGACGCTACATTTTTGCTTACATTTGCATCCAAAACCATTTTTGTTTTAGAAATTCTAGTATAAAAAATTATCTGAATATTTCTCTTATATCTTGGTGGGGGGAAAAATGGGGCACCCACACGTTTTAAAAAGTTATTATTTTTGTTTGTATTTTTTGAGGATAAATCGTGTGCTAAAAGCGTGACAAGCGTGACGCGGCGTTACGAAACAGTGTGACCTGGCAGCTCTTGTTTTTCAAACAATATTTCAAGCCTTCAAAGAACTAGAAAACTTATTTAATTTGAAGAACAATTAACAATTATTCACCAAAGGCGAAGTGATTATCAGGGAATATTTAACGAGACGCGAGTCTTCGAGCGGCGAGGTAAATATTCCCCAATAATCACTGAGCCTGAGACATAATTGTTTTAGTATAAATAGTAACACAGGTGATTCTTTCAAAAAAAGAAAAACAAAGAAGATAAAAGGCATTTTTTTCCAGTAACAGCAACAAAGTGTCTGGCCGCCATTTTGGATTTTGCCTAGAGGTGATTATCATGTGATAGTGTGAGTTTCTTGACCAATCAGCGCGCGAGATTTTCTATAATCACCTGCATATTTTTACTAATAATTAATAATTACTTCCTGTTTAGAAGAAAAGATTTCCTTAAGCAAATGGTACATGTATGTAAAAGTATTTTTTGAAGTCGGAAAAAGGACAGCTTTTCATGAATGTTCCACGGCAGTCGTGCATGCAAAGCAAGAACCAGGCAAAAACTTTCGTAAAATAAAAATTTACATTCAGTTTAACTTCACTAGAGCAAGAGACAGATTTAATAAATTAAAATAATAATTTTCTTTGTCAGTATGCTTTTTGCGTGAAGGTTTTTGAATATATGTTTTATAGCGAGTGAAAGACGGCTTATATAATACGGGTTCTTTCAACAACAAAAGTTCACTTTATGTAATAAATTATTATACTCGCATGAAAACCTAAATTAATGGTTGAGATTCAGTGTAATAGGTGATGCCATTTCAATTTTAATTTAATTTTAAAACAAACTAAGCTTATCTGTATGGAAATATTGAAAAAGTTATTTTATTATTCACTGATCCAAGGCTATTGAAACTGATTTTTTTCTAAAAAGTAAAAACATATGATTTTTTACCAAAAACACCTGTATTCTAGAAGATTACTTTGTGATCCACCTTTGGTTACATAAAAAAATAGATATTGCTGTTGTTCTTCACCTTAAATTTGTCCCAAGCCAACGTTTTCGGTACCTTTGAGTGTTTTTCTTTTGAAACCCTTGGGAATCCCTTGGTGTAGATGCGCAGTAAGTGTGCGCGCTGACAATAAGCCTTTTCATAGTTTAAGAATCGATTCCACTGCGCATGCGATTTTATCCCGAATTTCTCACCTTCTTTTGTATAAACCTTCTTTTGTTCTTAATTAAACAAAAGAAGGTGAGAAATTCGGGATAAAATCGCATGTGCAGTGGAATCAATTCTTAAACTATGAAAAGGCTTATAGTAGGCACCGTCCTTAACCTCAGTGTCTTACATAATGGCCGGGCATTGGACAGTGACCTCCCAGAATTGGAACTTGTCTGGTCAAATCTTTGCCTTGCTAGTCATTTTGACCAGTAACGTTTATTCAGAAAAAAGTATGACTTAGCGAAAACTAATTTTGGCTGGCCATCATGATCGCCAACCTATCAGCCATTATTTTAAGATCTGAACCTTATGCAACAATTGATAATTATTGTTTCAGTCACTTTGATATTGATGTGTAAACTCAAGTAACTAATGTGTAAATGTATGACATACCTGTTTTAAGGCTGTGTCAATACCCATGTCAGGTTTAATGATGACATGTCTGCTACATAACACTTCACCAGGTCCTCTCAAACCTCCTATCACTGTCTTAACCTAAACAATCATAAATTAAAAACGCTGAGTATTTCTAGGTGGAAATAGTGTTACAACTAAAACTTTTTTTCATTTAGAGAAAGCTTATTGTATGATTGTGAAAAGTTTGTGCCAGACCAATAATATTTTGCAAGAAATTACTCTCTATCCATCCAATCAAATGCCCAAARCAAATCCAATCCTACCCATAGGGTGACCCTTCTAGCCAAGGCAAAGTACCAGTAACATATCTCATGGAAATATTCGAGATAAATTTTCAAAAATTTGGAAAAAAATGGCTTGCCTGCTGGGGCACCTTTTTCACATATTAAATGGCACCAAAGTGAGGACGGCTGGGAGGGGGGAAGGGCGTGAGGAAGGTGCGGATGTTTATCTCCCATCCCCTTGTAAATTAAGTATAAACATGAATAAACACCATCATTCAATCCAAAAAGGAAAAGAAAAGGTAATGTAGTAGGGACTAGGCTACTATTTCCAGTAATACTAACAGACCACGATTGCAAGATTGCGAACAGAAACTACCCTCAATTAATACTTTCAAGCGGTTTGACTACATGTTTCTTGATACAAAATTGCATCTAGCTTACGTTTCCACGTCTAAGGACATCTGCAGCGATAACAGCTTCCATTTCCTCGGCCCCTTCCGCTAACAAGATAAGAGCTGATCCCTTTGTGTCCGCCATTTTACTTTTATTTCAGGAAATGTCGGAAAAAAATACACACAAGGAAAACTATTATTCGCTAGGTTCTAACCTATGAAAAATGTTCTTTTAATTTACTTGCCTATCGATACAAGGAACAGTTTGATTGGTTCATATTGACCAATGAGACACAAGAATCGAATTGTGAACAGATTCCAAAGTTGTCTAGTGGTTTGCTGCTGCATAATAGGGAAAAACATTGAAAATATTGGAAAAAGTCGAGAGTTTTTTAGGTTTCATTAAGGCTCAAGTAAAATAAATACATCCAGAAAGCTTAGAATGCTAATTTCCTTTGAAAAATTCTGTAAATTTGGCCTAGAAATGTAAAGTATTTACCAGTTGCTGGGGAAGTTGTTTTTTAGCAACGAAACGAATTCATCGGTCACAGATTTTTTCCTGGCGAAAGACTGCAAGATGTGGTTTTATTTTCTGGCACACTGTGCTTATCATTTTACGAGATGGTTTCCTAAGGGCAATCGAAAGGCTGTGTAAGTGATGTATAATGTTAAACTTAACTGAAGCTTAATTTATCAATTCACAAGCAATTTATCAATTTCATTCGAAATCCATAGTTCGCTTGAAGATCGAAGAGAACACTATTTTTTTGGTTTGTTACGATTAATTTTCGAATAAAATGTATGATTTAAAATGTCCAAGTCATGTCAGATGGAAGAGGCGACCCTAAACGAGGCCCTGTTAGCGAAAGTACATTTCTTTCTTTGGGGGGAGGGGGGTGGCCTGGAGGCTGGGGAATGTGGCTTCTGAGGGGGGTAGTCAGTTTAAACTAAAAAAAAACAAATTTAAACTTCTATAGACCTAATCGGGTAACGTGTTGCTATGTACGTTACCACCCAATTCAAACCTTCTGGGAACAAGTTTCATTGTTCGTTATATTTTGGTTTCACATGCAGTTGAATTCGCAGAGACAAGCACTTCTATTCCCAGAAGGTTTGAATTGGGTGGTAAAGTACATAGCAACACGTTAGCCGATTAGGTCTATTAAGGGTCAATGTTTGAATTTTCTGGACAATGAAATTTATTCTATGTATTTTATGTATTACTGTCTTTGTAGTTTATAGGTAGAATATTTCCAATATCCTATTTTTGGAAGTAAATTGTTTTAAAATTTCTTTATTTTTATCTCAAGTTTCTTAATAGTGATTATTTCCTTAATAATTGGTAGTTTGAATTTCTTAAAATTTAAAGTTTGTTCATTGCTAATAATGAATCGTAAATATTCTAGCTTCCTCTTAGTGTAGTACTAGGGTGCAAACAATTAATCTGTGAAACACTAATTACTAAATAGTACAAAATAGTGTTAATTAAACAATAGAAGACAATGGAATTTGCATGAATTGTGCTATTTAGTATTACTAAAATTTCACGGTTATATTGTTTGCACTCTACTGGCCTAGATTAAAATAACACAATGTTATTAAAATAATATTTGTTAATGCTGTATTCTAGGAGGATTGTGGTGATACTTTTTTCATTGCTGTTCTTGGTCCCACAAATCTATGTTTGTTTACTGTAAGTACCCCTTAGCCTTATTGTTACAATAGACCCCTTGCCAAAATGGTGGCTGAAAATTGAAATGTGTTAAATTATAAAAACCAATACCAGAACCTGAAAGAGCACCTTTACTTTTAAGTAACCCCACAGAGATTCATTATGTCAGTTGTTATGTCAGCCAATAAAACATAAGTTGAAAATTGACAAATTTACAGTCACTTATATGTCTGGGGGTTTACACTGTACCCCCAGACATACAAACATCTGTAAATTTGTCAATTTTCAACTTGAGTTTTCTCGGCCAACATAACAATTGACATAATGAATCTTCATAGGGTTAGTAACATTAAGGTTGCGCTCTTTCCAGTGCTGGTATTGATTTTCCTTTCAGTTTAATTTTAACTCAACTGAATTCGCGGCCGCCATTTTGGCAAGGGGTCTATTCAACAGAAAACTATAAATATGTCCACAAGATAAATGTTTCATAATTATAAAAAAGGTACATTACCATAATATCAGTATCTGATCAGTACTTTATATATTAGCCAACATATTAACTGGACGGTATCAATTTTAAGATCCCATTTTTACTATCAATCCACGCCTGTATATCCTTATCCAAATGTTTAGCTTCCTTCCCCAAATTTGTGAAGAGTACTACTTACAGCTGTATATGAAAAATTAGTGTGTAATAATTGTAAACACAAACCCAATGTATGTCATAAAAGATTAGATAATGAGATGATTAACAATCTTTTTCTGTCTAGAAAACGCAGTTCAGAAGTTTGTGAGCAGCCGTTGCTTAACATCAGTGTTGCTTGTATTGTCTTCACATTTGCAATGATTGGTAAGATTTCRTAATATGGATATGGTTGATAAAGATGATGATCAATGATGATGATGATGAATTGTTTTTGTTGTTGTTGTTACAGTATTGCTATGTCGTTGATAATGATGATAATGATAAGGACAAAAGCCAAATATAAGGACAATTGCAAAAGCCAATAAAAGATATAATGTAAAATGTAAAAGATATCTATGAATAACACATAGAGTTCTGGCAATGAAAGTGCTCCAAAGTTTAGGACCTTCTATAGAAAAAGCTTCGTCTCCGTATTCCGTTGTATTTTCGTCGTTTGTGGGGCAAAAGCATGCCAGTCTTGGTATATCCTCGCGCATCCTGGTTCAGAGCCCCGAAAAATGTAGTAAGAATTTGAAGCATATGCTTGCCTCGATATAGAGCCAGTGGAGAGATTGCGAAAAGTAATGAGGGCGTGAACAAAAGATTCGAAAGATTTTTGCTCAAGAAAAGTGCTTGTCAATTATAACACCATGACCATAACCATGTCCAAGCTGAGCCTTGCATGGGCGCTTGGAGATATGAAACTTATCTTCGAGTGTTGAAAATCTGTCACTCGCTGCGCTCACTTGTGAGAGAAAAAATTTTGTATCTCCGCACGCCCATGCAATATCCTCTATATCCCAGGATACTCGACTTTGGTCATTGCAGCCAATCAGAATGCATAATTTCTATATGACCGACTAGATACTGGATTGCGGGAAAATAATTTCATGTATTACGTATTTTATAGCCAACAATAATTGTATGATGTCAATTTTCCAGCATTCTCTTTCCTGTTCACCATGATGGAGCCAGTGCCATGGCAACTGAAAATTGCCTTTCACTTCTTTGGTTTTGGCTCTTTGTTGATGGGTCTTGTCCTGTTTGCCTCCATAATGGACACCACCAACTGTGTAAGTAGTGTGCCTCATGGATGAATATACCTATGCTGTGGGCATAGTGTTGTCTACATTGTTATACTGTCTTACATTAATTATATAAACACTGTCTTACATGTCTCTTATTTTGAAATGTTGCAGCAAAGCTTTGTTCCTGAACTATACTTCCTCTGTTTATCATTTGGAATCTTTGCCATTTTATCTACTGGTAAGGTAGTTTATTTGAAAGTAGTGCAAAACATGTGGGGCGGTCGATGTGCAAGTGGTCACTAGTGAATATAGATATATAATTTTAGGTTAGGCAACTTGGCCAAAAAGTATGTTTAGCATACAAGAAAACAGACAGCTCATCTCTCTTTCTCTCTCTCAATTTTTAAAATTTTTACTACCTTTGGGTAGCATAATGTACTGGTTTTATTTTAGAAAATTCGTTTATGATAACAGAAAAACTTAACAAATTCTTTTAAAAATCGACTTTTAATAACATTTTATATTTTTATTTTAAAGTGTTCATCATCTTGATGTTACCATTCTGGCTCATAAACTATCTCTGGCCTGATTCTGTCCTCAACAGACGTGAGCGACGAGGAATCTGTTATGAACCTGTAAAGTGTTGTACATGTTTATGGCATATTTAACACAGCATATAATATACACGTAATAATCAACTTTGTAAATATAATTTATGTGCTTAGTTCCAGAAATTATCATGACTTCATTGATGCTCTCACTTATGAAAAAATGTAAGCCCTCTGGGTCACTGTTCTGGCGACCCTGCCACATAAGGCATACCTCTGTCAGTAAATAAGATGCATTGACAGGGTTTTGGCATTGTGTGTCAAAACTTGTCAAATAATGCGCATATGTCCATCGCACACGACTTCGCCAAGTTTGTTTAGCAGTTGCCTTTTGAATGAACAGCAACGAGTTATCATTGAAGGGCAATGTATTACTGAACTTTTCAAGAATAGAGGTTGGGGTGCCACAAGGCCAAGAACTTGGACCCTTGCTGTTTTTCACGTGGCAGCAGCCATGTTAGGTGGCAGGAACAATACAATCGATTTACATAAAAAAATTTCAGATCCCAAAGTTAAAGGGATTTTATTGTTCTGCCCTCTAACCAATGGCAGCCCAAGCTGTATTATGGGCGTGGCCACGTGATGGTGCAAGAGTCCTATTTGGATATGAAAAATGACGGGTTTCTCTAAAAGATAATCTTGATTTGTTTGTGAAACTCTTGCCAGATTTTGAGTTAAGACCAATATATTTTAAGAAAAACTGAAATAGGCCGGAAATCTTCCATCGCTAAACATATGTCCAACATACATCTTTTATAAGCAGTATTGATGTGAACAAAGCAGTGGGTCTTGATGGAATTCCCAATAACTTGTTAAAATTAGCAGCCGAAATCGTCGGACAATCCCTAGCTGAAATTTTAGGTCATTCTATCAAGACGGGCACTTTTCCGCGCGAGTAGCACCTGTCTTTAAAAAAGGAGACCAAAATGATGTAACTAATTACAGACCAATTTCAGTAGTGTCCACTATATCTAAAATTTTCGAAAAAATTGTATTCGATAAACTCTATACTTACCTAAATACAAATGAATTGTTAGCGACTTGCCGATCAGGCTTCCGTACACTGCACAGTACTCTATCTGCCTTAATAGAAGCAACTAACCACTGGTCGGTAAGTATTGACAGGAGCTTGTTTAATGGTGCTATCTTCATTGATTTACAAAATGCTTTTGACACTAACTAAACTATGGTGTCGACCAACTGTCAGTTTCCTGGTTTAGGTCTTATCTAATTAATCGATTACAGAGAGCATGTGTAAACGGAAGCTTGTCTGGCCAAAGTGCAGTAAGATTTGGCGTGCCCCAAGGCAGTAATCTTCTAGTTGGGCTGTTTTTCTAATTTTTATCAACGATTTACCTAACTGCTTGGATACAGCCTCAGCACGGATGTTTGCTGATGATAMTAACATCACTGTTCATGGTAACAKCATTCCAGATCTTGAGCCTGTACTCAATGCAGAAATTAGAAACATCCATAAATGGTTACTTAGCAATAAGATAAGTTTAAATGTTACCAAAACTGAATTTATGATTATTGGCTCTCGCCAAGAATTTACTGCACATGACGATTTTCCAATAAAAGTAACGATTGGCGATAACGAAATTTTAAAATTCGATCATACGAAGTCGCTCGGCGTTACAATAGACAAAGCCTTTGAATTGGTCTATACACATTCAAAATGTTATCAAGAATGTCTCTTGCATAGGAGCCTTAAAACGCGTGCGTCCTTTTATCTCCATCAGTACTGCCATTCAAATTTATAAAACGCTTGCCCAGCCCCACTTCGACTATTGTAGTACGGTGTGGAGTGGCTTAAGTCAACAGCTAAGTGATCGACTTCAAAAACTTCAAACGCGCGGCAAGAGTTATTACAAAAACTAACTATGAGACTCGATCTATCCAATTACTTGTCGACCTCAACTGGGACGCCCTTGCAATTCGTCGAGATAAGCAAAAAGCAACACTAATGAATAAGACAATGTATAAGCGCGTGCCAACGTACATCCAAAATCTCCGAGCTGAAAAAACTTAATTACAACTTACGTAATCAAGAAAGTACATTTTAGTTCCTAAGCCACATATTGAGTATCTTAAGAATTCTTTTTGTTATAGTGGCTCTTCACTGTGGAATAGCCTTCCGCAATCTGTGAGAGAGGCAAAAAATATCTCACAATTTAAGAAAAACATTGAAAATGTGTTTTCTTAATGTAAAGATTCCCACGGCCTACATGTAAAGCAGTATCTAAACCATGTATATTATATATCTGTATTTAGTTAGCATTTATATTATATATTTTTAGCTGTAAATGACTGAGGTATTTTACCTTGGTTAAATAAAGATTCAGATTCAGATACATTTTTGTGCGCGTTGAACAAGGATCTATGGATTTTTTGATATTTTGCTACATAAATGCAGACTCGTACCCAGTCGCTTTTTTGTCTCTCTCTTTCCCAAAAGCCATCGTGCGCATTAAAAAGCGTGAGTGACGAATGTGTACCAGTCTGACATAACTGTATTTCAGCGTTTAACACAAAATCCACGACTATTTCCAAAGCACAGAATGTCCATGATCAACGTATGATACCAACAAAGACTGTGGAAAATACCAATTTTTGGTATGGATAAAAGCGATGCTATTCGAGGGCGGCGCTTATTAATAATTTTGCTGGTGTTAGGTGCGGCGCTTATTTGAGGGCTGCGCTTAATCGGGGGCGGCACTTAAACGAGTAAATGCGTATGGGGATGGAAAATGCTGAGTGGGGAAAGTTACAACGATATGGTAGGGTTCGTACAACTAACAACACCGAAAATTCGAGGCAAAAAGGGCTTTGAAATCCCAAATTGCTTATGAAATCCAATTAATTCGAACGGATGTGCAAGGGAGACCGATTATTTACAAGCGTACATACGAATCATCGGAACAACAAGATTTGGAAGGATGCAAGTTGAATATACCAAAAAAAACCCTATTGCGACAGGCCTAACCGTGGCCACCCAACTTATTTTTACTAGCTATCCAATCAGACAGCGAGATTTTGTGTGTTTGCACGTGAAACTACTATACCCAGCGTGACCCCAAATATTTAGAATTATTTCGTACTCTTCGCAACAAACACTGGACACTTTCGTAAAAAGTCTTTTAATTGATGGAATTAGTAGAAAAATAAGTTGCGTTGTCACGGTTAGGCGCGTCGCACTGTAAGCGAAGATATGCAAGAAAAATTAGAAAGACCGAAGATCGGGTTGGATTGTGTACAGTATCTATGTGTTTCTTTTTCTATATATATTAAAAGAGCATGGAAAATATATGTAAAAAATGAAATCTTCCATTTTCGTCGAAATACACATTACTATACGCGCTCACCACATTCGAAAATTTCCAAAAAAAAAAAACGTATAGTGCAGATACTGCGACAAAGAGCTGAAGGAACTATGTGTATATGTTAGTTTTCAAAATCACATTCTTTAGGCAAGAAAAAAAACTTTTCCCTAGGTTTTTGCTAGAAAAGCCACGAGTCGACAACAGCCGACAATGCCGAAAACTCTCCAACGTCTACGACCAACAATGGCGGCCGAAAACTCGACAACAACAATTTCGAAAACGATGTTCGACAATAGGAATGCCATTGCAAAGAACCGAGTTGGCCCCAAACGAATAGAAGAAATACAATACTCAGAGAAAAAGAGGCCTAAAAACGTGGTAGCTTCACCAGGGGCGGATCCAGGGAGGGGCAAAATGAAAGGGGGCTTTAGCCCCCACCCCGAAATAGTTTTATTTGATCAAAGAATAAAAAAGCTGATATTTTTTTCCAAGTTCTTTAGTGTAATTTGCAAAATTCAGTCAAGTCCCCTCGCCTTAACGATAAATATAGGAGTTCGATCGAAGACTGACTTGGAAAGTTATGGGGAGAAGATGTGGCGATCGCGCCTATCGAACCCGCTGTAACAACCTAAAAAGAAGAGCGACTACGCCTATGCTTTTTGGATCATATTGTTGTCATGTACAGCAGCAGTAAGGGGGACTCGCGGTCAATGTCAAAGATTTACGGGTTTTACAGGCGGTTTAAGGAAGGCGCCGGCAGCGGGAATAAGCCGCGCACCGTGTCCTTACTGCTGCTAGTTGTCGAACCGCAAACGGAGGTTAAAATATCCTTTACATATAGATGGACACCATCACAAGCATTCGTAACAAAACTGTGCGCCGACTGCGAACTCAGGTGTTGGATCGCCTGGATGC